CCAAGATGCTTCATGCTGGAGCACCAAGGATGCTTCAGGCTGGGCACCAAGGATGCTTCAGGCTGGAGCACCAAGGATGCTTCATGCTGGAGCACCAAGGATGCTCATGCTGGAGCACCAAGGATGCTTCATGCTGGAGCACCAAGGATGCTTCATGCTGGAGCACCAAGGATGCTTCATGCTGGAGCACCAAGGATGCTTCAGGCTGGAGCACCAAGGATGCTTCAGCTGGAGCACCAAGGATGCTTCATGGCTGGAGCACCAAGGATGCTTCATGCTGGAGCACCAAGGATGCTTCAGGCTGGAGCACCAAGGATGCTTCAGGCTGGAGCACCAGGATGCTTCATGCTGGAGCACCAAGGATGCTTCAGCTGGAGCACCAGGATGCTTCAGGCTGGAGCACCAAGGATGCTTCAGGCTGGAGCACCAAGGATGCTTCATGCTGGAGCACCAGGATGCTTCATGCTGGAGCACCAAGGATGCTTCATGCTGGAGCACCAAGGATGCTTCATGCTGGAGCACCAAGGATGCTTCATGCTGGAGCACCAAGGATGCTTCATGCTGGAGCACCAAGGATGCTTCATGCTGGAGCACCAAGGATGCTTCATGCTGGAGCACCAAGGATGCTTCATGCTGGAGCACCAAGGATGCTTCATGCTGGAGCACCAAGGATGCTTCAGGCTGGAGCACCAAGGATGCTTCAGGCTGGAGCACCAAGGATGCTTCATGCTGGAGCACCAAGGATGCTTCAGGCTGGAGCACCAAGGATGCTTCATGCTGGAGCACCAAGGATGCTTCATGCTGGAGCACCAAGGATGCTTCAGGCTGGAGCACCAAGGATGCTTCATGCTGGAGCACCAAGGATGCTTCATGCTGGAGCACCAAGGATGCTTCATGCTGGAGCACCAAGGATGCTTCAGGCTGGAGCACCAAGGATGCTTCATGCTGGAGCACCAAGGATGCTTCATGCTGGAGCACCAAGGATGCTTCATGCTGGAGCACCAAGATGCTTCAGGCTGGAGCAACCAAGGATCTTCAGCGCTGGAGCACCAAGGGATGCTTCCATGCTGGAGCACCAAGGGATGCTTCAGGCTGGAGCACCAAGGATGCTTCAGGCTGGAGCACCAAGGATGCTTCATGCTGGAGCACCAAGGATGCTTCAGGCTGGAGCACCAGGATCTTCAGGCTGGAGCACCAGGATGCTTCATGCTGGAGCACCAAGGATGCTTCGGCTGGAGCACCAAGGATGCTTCAGGCTGGAGCACCAGGATGCTTCAGGCTGGAGCACCAAGGATGCTTCATGCTGGAGCACCAAGGATGCTTCAGGCTGGACAGCACCAAGGATGCTTCAGGCTGGGAGCACCAAGGGGATGCTTCAGGCTGGAGCACCAAGGGATGCTTCATGCTGGGCACCAAGGATGCTTCATGCTGGAGCACCAAGGATGCTTCAGGCTGGAGCAACAAGGATGCTTCATGCTGGAGAGCACCAAGGATGCTTCAGTGCTGGAGCACCAAGGGATGCTTCAGGCTGGAGCACCAAGGATGCTTCATGCTGGAGCACCAAGGATGCTTCATGCTGGAGCACCAGGATGGCTTCATGCTGGAGCACCAAGGAATGCTTCATGCTGGAGCACCAAGGATGCTTCAGGCTGGAGCACCAAGGGATGCTTCAGGCTGGAGCACCAAGGATGCGTCAGGCTGGGAGCACCAAGGATGCTTCATCTGGAGCACCAAGGATGCTTCGGCTGGAGCACCAAGGGATGCTTCATGCGGAGCACCAAGGATGCTTCATGCTTGGAGCACCAAGGATGCTTCAGCGGGAGCACCAAGGATGCTTCAGGCTGGAGCACCAAGGATGCTTCAGGCTGGAGCACCAAGGATGCTTCATGCTGGAGCACCAAGGATGCTTCATGCTGGAGCACCAAGGATGCTTCATGCTGGAGCACCAAGGATGCTTCAGGCTGGAGCACCAAGGATGCTTCATGCTGGAGCACCAAGGATGCTTCATGCTGGAGCACCAAGGATGCTTCATGCTGGAGCACCAAGGATGCTTCATGCTGGAGCACCAAGGATGCTTCATGCTGGAGCACCAAGGATGCTTCATGCTGGAGCACCAAGGATGCTTCATGCTGGAGCACCAAGGATGCTTCAGGCTGGAGCACCAAGGATGCTTCAGGCTGGAGCACCAAGGATGCTTCATGCTGGAGCACCAAGGATGCTTCATGCTGGAGCACCAAGGATGCTTCAGGCTGGAGCACCAAGGATGCTTCAGGCTGGAGCACCAAGGATGCTTCAGGCTGGAGCACCAAGGATGCACCTTCTGTGAAGTGTAGACATGATGTTTCTCCATTTGCAAGCAGTTTGAAATAATTCCTATATATAGAATGTTTATCTTTTCTGTTTGTCTCGACTTTAGTATTTCGCTGCAGACTGCTTGACACTCTGTAAAGATTTACCTTCTTGCAAGAATGAACTCCCTAAAAGAAGATTTCCTCACCATTTTATTATTGTTTACTTGTTTGTCTCATTACATTTCCACCACATAGGCTAAGGGGCGGGGCATCTCTAACGCTGAGTAAATAGCAGTAGAGAAATTCAAAATGTTTGTAACTATAATACAATATATACAAATATTAATTTAAACATATTAAAATATATATTTCAAATCTACAACCCCACTCGTGTTCCTTTATTAGTTTGAACTAATTGAATCAAGAGATTATTCTGTTTGATCTCCTGAACTGTTTGAGATGTGATTTCTGTTTGATCTCTTGAACTGTTTGAGGTGTGATTTCTGTTTGATCTCCTGAACTGTTTGAGGTGTGATTTCTGTTTGATCTCCTGAACTGTTTGAGGTGTGATTTCTGTTTGATCTCTTGAACTGTTTGAGATGTGATTTCTGTTTGATCTCCTGAACTGTTTGAGGTGTGATTTCTGTTTGATCTCCTGAACTGTTTGAGGTGTGATTTCTGTTTGATCTCCTGAACTGTTTGAGGTGTGATTTCTGTTTGATCTCTTGAACTGTTTGAGGTGTGATTTCTGTTTGATCTCTTGAACTGTTTGAGATGTGATTTCTGTTTGATCTCCTGAACTGTTTGAGGTGTGATTTCTGTTTGATCTCCTGAACTGTTTGAGGTGTGATTTCTGTTTGATCTCTTGAACTGTTTGAGGTGTGATTTCTGTTTGATCTCCTGAACTGTTTGAGGTGTGATTTCTGTTTGATCTCCTGAACTGTTTGAGGTGTGATTTCTGTTTGATCTCCTGAACTGTTTGAGATGTGATTTCTGTTTGATCTCCTGAACTGTTTGAGGTGTGATTTCTGTTTGATCTCTTGAACTGTTTGAGGTGTGATTTCTGTTTGATCTCCTGAACTGTTTGAGGTGTGATTTCTGTTTGATCTCTTGAACTGTTTGAGGTGTGATTTCTGTTTGATCTCTTGAACTGTTTGAGGTGTGATTTCTGTTTGATCTCTTGAACTGTTTGAGGTGTGATTTCTGTTTGATCTCCTGAACTGTTTGAGGTGTGATTTCTGTTTGATCTCTTGAACTGTTTGAGGTGTGATTTCTGTTTGATCTCTTGAACTGTTTGAGGTGTGATTTCTGTTTGATCTCTTGAACTGTTTGAGGTGTGATTTCTGTTTGATCTCCTGAACTGTTTGAGGTGTGATTTCTGTTTGATCTCTTGAACTGTTTGAGGTGTGATTTCTGTTTGATCTCTTGAACTGTTTTGAGGTGTGATTTCTGTTTGATCTCCTGAACTGTTTGAGGTGTGATTTCTGTTTGATCTCTTGAACTGTTTGAGGTGTGATTTCTGTTTGATCTCTTGAACTGTTTGAGGTGTGATTTCTGTTTGATCTCTTGAACTGTTTGAGGTGTGATTTCTATTTGATCTCCTGAACTGTTTGAGGTGTGATTTCTGTTTGATCTCCTGAACTGTTTGAGATGTGATTTCTGTTTGATCTCCTGAACTGTTTGAGGTGTGATTTCTGTTTGATCTCTTGAACTGTTTGAGGTGTGATTTCTGTTTGATCTCTTGAACTGTTTGAGGTGTGATTTCTGTTTGATCTCCTGAACTGTTTGAGGTGTGATTTCTGTTTGATCTCTTGAACTGTTTGAGGTGTGATTTCTGTTTGATCTCTTGAACTGTTTGAGGTGGGATTTCTGTTTGATCTCCTGTCATTGGAGGAGCCTCACCTGTTTGAGGAGGTTACAGGAGAGCGTGAAGATGTCGAAGAGCGACGAGTCTCTGAAGGACGAGGCGATCTTCCTGTGTTTGGTCAGAGGGTGAGTCGTGTCCGCCTGGAAACAGGAAATGTACCGCGTTCAAAAAAAGGTTTCCTATTGGATAATCAAACGTCTATCTGATGTTATTCCCTGAGGAGAAGGAGAAGTGTTTAGGAAAGGACATAAGGACAGAAGTGTTTAGTAAAGGACATAAAGGAATAGGAGCTAAAGAGTTTAGGAAAGGATATAAGGACAGAGGGGGTTAGTAAAGGATGTAAGGACAGAGGAGGTTAGTAAAGGATGTAAGGACAGAGAATGTTAGTAAAGGATGTAAGGACAGAGGATGTTAAGTAAAGGACAGAAGGACGTTAGTAAAGGACAGAAGGACACCGGGGGTTAGTAAAGGACAGAAGTAAAGAGGAGGTTAGGAAAGGACAGAGGAGGCTAGTAAAAGACAGAGGAGGCTAGTAAAGGACAGAGGAGGCTAGTAAAGGACAGAGGAGGCTAGTAAATGACAGAGGAGGCTAGTAAAGGACGTAAGGAGGACAGGGTAAGTAAAGGACGTAAGTAAAGAGGAGGCTAGTAAATGACAGAGGAGGCTAGTAAAGGACAGAGGAGGGTAGGACAGAGGGGGTCAGGACGTAGGAGGTGTCTGACCTGGTTGATCTCGTTGGTGAGCTGGGACAGGATGGTGACTCCGATGATGCAGTGCTCCACGCTGTCCTGCAGGAAGCGAGTCACGTCTGCGATCACGTTCCTGAACACGTAGTCTTCCTTCTGGCAGTCGAACCAGCCCAGTTTGGTGATGCGGGCGTACAGCTGGATCAGAGCCTGAGTCACGAAGGCTGCCAGCTTAGGGCGCGTCGCCAGGTAGTTCAGAACATAGTTCCCTGCAGGAGAGGAGACAGAGCACGTGAGGAGAGGAGACAGAGAGCACGAGAGGAGACGAGACACAGAGCACGTGAGGAGAGGAGACACAGAGCACGAGAGGAGTCATAGAGCACGAGAGGAGAGGAGACACAGAGTACGAGAGGAGAGGAGACAGAGAGCACGAGAGGAGACGAGACACAGAGAGGAGACACAGAGCACGTGAGGAGAGGAGACAGAGCACGTGAGGAGAGGAGACATAGAGAGGAGACACCAGAGAAAAATAGTTTTTATTATTTGAGTTTTAGGTCTAAAATTAACCGTTTTAAAAACGTCTATCTGACCTTAGTCCCCGAGGTGAAGGAGAAGTGTTTAGGAAAGAACATAAGGACAGAAGTGTTTAAGAAAGGACATAAGTGTTTAGGAAAGGACAGAAGTGTTTAGTAAAGGACAGAAGTGTTTAAGAAAGGACATAAGTGTTTAGGAAAGGACAGAAGTGTTTAGTAAAGGACAGAAGTGTTTAGTAAAGGACATGAGGATAGAAGTGTTTAGGAAAGGACATAAGTGTTTAGGAAAGGACAGAAGTGTTTAGGAAAGGACAAAAGTGTTTAGTAAAGGACAGAAGTGTTTAGTAAAGGACAGAAGTGTTTAGTAAAGGACATAAGGACAGAAGTGTTTAGGAAAGGACAGAAGTGTTTAGTAAAGGACATGAGGACAGAAGTGTTTAGTAAAGGACATAAGGACATAAGTGTTTAGTAAAGGACAGAAGTGTTTAGTAAAGGACATGAGGATATAAGTGTTTAAGAAAGGACATAAGTGTTTAGGAAAGGACAGAAGTGTTTAGTAAAGGACAGAAGTGTTTAGTAAAGGACAGAAGTGTTTAGTAAAGGACAGAAGTGTTTAGTAAAGGACATAAGGACAGAAGTGTTTAGGAAAGGACAGAAGTGTTTAGTAAAGGAAATGAGGACAGAAGTGTTTAGTAAAGGACATAAGTGTTTAGTAAAGGACATAAGGACAGAAGTGTTTAGGATCTAAAGAAACTGAAGAGGAGACACAGAGTCACCAGAGAGAAAACTAGATTTATATAAATATATTGTTTAAGGTCTGAAGTTAACTTTCCTCTGAGAGGAAATCATGTTTTAATTCACAAAGAAATCTGAATATTCTTAGTTTTTTGTCATTAATTTACAAGAAAATAATGTTTTTTCCCAGTTTTTTGTCACAACATGAGAAACAATACCAATATTTCCACGTATTGAGTCATGACATTAGAAATGAAAAATAATATGATATGAGTATTAAGTCACACATTTACAGTTCATATTATTTACATTTTTAGAGAGAATGAAGAATCTTCCAGTTTCAAGTCAGAAATATACAAGAAAAGAACTTCATATTTGAGCCTCTTTCAAATCACAAAATCACAAGAAACAAGAAACAATACCAATATTTCCACGTATTGAGTCATAACCGTACAAAATAAAAAATAATATATGTCCTTTACTAACCTCCTCTGTCCTTCTGTCCTTTACTAACCTCCTCTGTCCTTCTGTCCTTTACTAACCTCCTCTGTCCTTCTGTCCTTTACTAACCTCCTCTGTCCTTTTGTCCTTTACTAACCTCCTCTGTCCTTCTGTCCTTTACTAACCTCCTCTGTCCTTCTGTCCTTTACTAACCTCCTCTGTCCTTTTGTCCTTTACTAACCTCCTCTGTCTTTTACTAACCTCCTCTGTCTTTTACTAACCTCCTATGTCCTTACGTCCTAACCTCCTCTGTCCTAACATCCTCTGTCCTAACCTCCTCTGTCCTTTACTAACCTCCTATGTCCTTACGTCCTAACCTCCTCTGTCCTTTACTAACCTCCTTCTGTCCTTTACTAACCTCCTATGTCCTTACGTCCTAACCTCCTTCTGTCCTTTACTAACCTCCTATGTCCTTACGTCCTAACCTCCTATGTCCTTACGTTCTAACCTCCTCTGTCCTAACGTCCTCTGAACCTCCTGTGTCCTAACCTCCTGTGTCCTAACCTCCTGTGTCCTAACCTCCTCTGTCCTGAATAGTTCACGTTACCAAATCACATGAGAATCATCTGCATCAGTTTCAGGAAAGAAACTTTTCTCTACGTGTTTTTTATTTCTGTACATTAGTGAATAAATGCTGAAGTAACGAATCCAGTGTATTCCCATGAACATGTGACTTGAATCTGGAAGAGGGTCCTGAACAGATGGAGTGAGGGTAGAGGCGGGGACTCACGGATGTCGATGCGCTGCTCGAGCGGGAGAGGGTTGCTGGTTCGAGAAACCAGTTTAGACAAACACGTGGCAGCGAGGAGCTGCGAGTACGAGGACTGCAAACACAAAGACACGGTTAGTTTCGGTTCATTCATGTTTCCCTCAAGACACGGTTAGTCTGGGTTCATTCATGTTTCCCTCAAGACACGGTTAGTCTGGGTTCATTCATGTTTCCCTCAACAGACGGTTAGTCTGGGTTCATTCATGTTTCCCTCAAGACACGGTTAGTTTGGGTTCATTCATATTTCCCTCAAGACACGGTTAGTTTGGGTTCATTCATATTTCCCTCAAGACACGGTTAGTCTGGGTTCATTCATGTTTCCCTCAAGACACAGTTAGTTTGGGTTCATTCATGTTTCCCTCAAGACACGGTTAGTTTGGGTTCATTCATATTTCCCTCAAGACACGGTTAGTTTGGGTTCATTCATGTTTCCCTCAAGACACGGTTAGTTTGGGTTCATTCATGTTTCCCTCAAGACACGGTTAGTTTGGGTTCATTCATGGTTCCCTCAACAGACGGTTAGTTTGGGTTCATTCATGTTTCCCTCAAGACACGGTTAGTTTGGGTTCATTCATGTTTCCCTCAACAGACGGTTAGTTTGGGTTCATTCATGTTTCCCTCAAGACACGGTTAGTTTGGGTTCATTCATGTTTCCCTCAAGACACTGTTAGTTTGGGTTCATTCATGTTTCCCTCAAGACACGGTTAGTTTGGGTTCATTCATGTTTCCCTCAAGACACAGTTAGTTTGGGTTCATTCATGTTTCCCTCAAGACACGGTTAGTTTGGGTTCATTCATGTTTCCCTCAAGACACGGTTAGTTTGGGTTCATTCATGTTTCCCTCAAGACACGGTTAGTTTGGGTTCATTCATGTTTCCCTCAAGACATGGCTAGTTTGGGTTCATTCATATTTCCCTCAAGACACGGCTAGTTTGGGTTCATTAATGTTTCCCTCAAGACACAGTTAGTCTGGGTTCATTCATGTTTCCCTCAACAGACGGTTAGTTTGGGTTCATTCATGTTTCCCTCAAGACACGGTTAGTTTGGGTTCATTCATGTTTCCCTCAAGACACAGTTAGTTTGGGTTCATTCATGTTTCCCTCAAGACACGGTTAGTCTGGGTTCATTCATGTTTCCCTCAAGACACAGTTAGTTTGGGTTCATTCATGTTTCCCTCAAGACACAGTTAGTTTGGGTTCATTCATGTTTCCCTCAAGACACGGCTAGTTTGGGTTCATTCATGTTTCCCTCAAGACACAGTTAGTTTGGGTTCATTCATGTTTCCCTCAAGACACAGTTAGTTTGGGTTCATTCATGTTTCCCTCAAGACACGGCTAGTTTGGGTTCATTCATGTTTCCCTCAAGACACGGCTAGTTTGGGTTCATTCATGTTTCCCTCAAGACACGGCTAGTCTGGGTTCATTCATGTTTCCCTCAAGACACGGCTAGTCTGGGTTCATTCATGTTTCCCTTGTTGCTAAGAGTCTTAAAGAACTCAAATAAAATGCATGTTCATCAGGCTGCACTCACGCTGTGTCTCTGCTCTGCTGTGTTTGTTGTTGCAAAGTGCCTATAGAGTGAGTTACAGTAGTGTCTCCTGCCCTGTACTCTCTTCAGGTTTGCCCTATATGACATGTGTTCCTTGTTGTTAAAGGTGGGGTAGGTAAGAACGGAGAAACAGCTCGAGTGCGCTGGAATCTGAAAATACACAACCGGAAACTATCTGCCCCTTCCTTCAGACTTCCTTCCAGAGCCCCTCCACCAACACACACGAACATGACCAATGAGGGCACGAGATAAGTGTGTGCCCAGATGGTAGGCTGGCAGGCAGGTAGGCCATCCAGTTACTTTAGCCGGCTCAGATGATTGGTCGTGCTTTTTACAGAACTACGGCTTCCACAGATGACATGTTTTTATGTATTTGTTGTCAAAGCACTTCAGATATTCATTGCTATCGGGATGTTAAGAGCATTGCATGGAATATAACTATAGGTTACTTACGTAACCCCAGTTCTCAGAGTAACATGAAATGAGATGTCTCACTATGGGATGCGCCTCAACGCGTATGCAAACAGAAGCATCAATCTCATTACGCCAATCCTGATTGGCTGGTGATCTTGACGTCTACGTCAGGGAATCCACCCACCCTTTAAGTAGCTTGCGCTACGACGCAGCGTCATTCAAAATAAGCACCTCTTCTCGCTTCGCCTTAGCAAGAAGGGCCGTCTGGTGAGACATCTCACTTCATGTTACTCTGAGAACTGGGGTTACGTAAGTAACCTATAGTTCTCATTCATAACACTCCGTTCGATGTCTCACTATGGGATATTGAAACTCCCGTATTGCTAGACATGCTTATCTCTAAAATCACCAAAACAACCAGAACTTAACAGGTAGAACCCTGTCTCAACACGGGGCCCAGCACTGCGCGGGCCACACTTGGAGCAGAGACATCTAGCCTGTAAAATCGGACAAAAGTGAGGGGCGAGGACCAGCTCGCTGCTGCACAAATGTCTTGGATGGAAACACCCTTGAACAAAGCCCAGGATGTAGCCAGTCCACGAGTAGAATGAGCATGCAGGCCCGTTGGTGCCTGCAAACCCTGACTCGTATAAACCAGAGCAATTGCTTCCACAATCCAGTGGGAGAGCCGTTGCCTGGTAACGGGCTTGCCCTTCTGAGGGTTAGCCCAGGATACAAAGAGTTGGTCATTGCATCGAAACTCTTTTGACCTGTCCATATAGGTGCGTAAAGCACGGACTGGGCACAGCAAATTCGGCCGCTGTTCCTCAGAGGAACACAGCGGCGGAGGAAATGCCACAATGTCAATGGGGGTACATGAGCCAACCACCTTAGGTATAAAGGCAGGGTTGGGCTTCAGCAACACTCTCGTTTGCCCCGGGGCAAACTGAGTGCATGAAGGATGTTCAGAGAGCGCATGAATGTCACTGACTCGCTTGGCAGATGCCAGAGCCAGTAACAGCACTGTCTTCAGTGACAGGTGTTTCATGTCAGCTTCTTCCAGGGGTTCAAATGGAGGTCAAGTGAGCCCATCTAAAACCACTGCCAAGTCCCATAAGGGCACCAGTGACCTGGAAACAGGGAGGAGCCTGCGAGCCCCTTTCATAAAACGGCAGACCAAAGGATGTTGGCTAGCCGTCTTTCGCTCAAAGCCCACATGGCATGCAGCAATAGCAGCCAGGTACACTTTGATCGTAGAGAAAGCTCTGTGTTTATCAATTAAGTCCTGTAGAAATGATAAAATCACCCCAACAGGACATTGAAAAGAGATGTGTCCTTTTTGAAGGCACCACTCCTCAAACACCCTCCACTTACAGTCATAGAGAGACCTGGTGGAGGAAGCTCTCGCACTCTGAATAGTGTTTATCACCTTCTGAGGGAGCCCCACTGTATTCAGATTGTACCACTCACGGGCCAGGCCCATAGTGCCAAGCGCTCTGGGTGTGGGTGAAAGATCGCCCCCCCCGCCTGAGACAGTATGTCCCTGCGTAGCGGGAGCTGCCACGGCTGCCCGCACAGCAGCTGATATATCTCCGCCAGCCAGTACATTGCAGGCCAGTGCGGAGCTATCAGGATAAGTGTGTGGCGTTGTTCTCTCACTCTGGCCAGAGTTGGGGGTATCAGAGCCAGGGGTGGGAACGCGTACAGAAGGACCGGAGGCCAAACGTGCGCGAGTGCGTCCACGCCTAACGGTGCATTTAAATCACGCATTGAAAAGAACAGCTGACATTGAGCATTTTCTTTTGATGCGAACAGATCCACCGCGGCCCGGCCGTAACGCACCCACAGCTGACTCACAATCATTGGATGTAGAGTCCAGTCTGCATATAGTGGTGCAACTCTGGACAGCAGATCCGCCCGAGGTTCATCACTCCTGGTACGTGCGTCGCTCTCAGAGAGAGGAGACGTCCGCAGCTCCATAAGATCAGTTTGCGTGCCAGCATGTGTAACTGGAGAGAACGCAAACCCCCTTGGCGGTTTATATATGATATTGTGGTCGTGTTGTCTGTCCTCACGAGGACATGATGTCCTCTGAGAAAAGGCAGAAAGCGTTTCAGGGTGAGGAACACCGCTAAAAGATCCAGATAATTTATGTGTGACCGTTGGAGTTCTCTGCTCCAGAGACCCCTCACAGGTCGACCTTCGTATATACCCCCCCAGCCCGTCAGACATGCGTCTGTGGTGACCACCTTCCGCGATAGGACAGCACCCATAGGCACGCCCCGTACTAGAAAAGTCGGGTGTAGCCAGTGGCGCAGTGCCATTACGCATTTCATAGTGACCATGACGCGCGGGGTCCAATCTGAGGGCAGCTACCCAGCGCTGAAACTCCCTCATGTGTAAGCGTCCCAGTCGTACCACCAGAATGGCTGACGCCATGAGCCCCAGTAACCGCAGACATGACCTGAAGAGAACATATTTGCATGGCTGGAAATGAGCGAGGCAAGCCCTGAAGGCTTTCACTCTCTCTGCTGACAGGCGGGCTGTAAAGGGCACCGAATTCAGGCGTAGGCCCAGGAAGAGTACAGTCTGGGCTGGAGACAACATGCTCTTTTCTGTGTTTATTACGAAACCCAGGTCGAGCAGGTGTTTTACGAGGACATTCGTCTGCGTAATAGCCTCTTGCTCCGACTGTGCGAGAAGGAGCCAATCGTCCAGATAAGTTGCCAGGCGAATACCCTGTTGTCTTCACGGGGCTATCGCGGCTTCCGTACATCGTACAAACACTTGCGGGCTGAGAGACAGACCGAAGGGAAGTACTCTGTATGGCGAACCTCAGATATTTCCTGTGTGGGTAATATACTGGGATGTGGAAATACGCATCTTTCAGGTCGACTGATGTGAACCAGTGGTTTTGGCGCACGAGACGCAACAGAGATGTGTGAGTGAGCATTCTGAATTTGTATCTTTTGAGATATTTGTTCAGAGCTCTCAAATCTAGTATTGGCCAAATTCCGTTCCCTCCCCGTTTGGGAACGAGGAAATACTTGGAATAAAAGCCGCTCTGACTCTGTTCGGAGGGTATTATCGATATAGCCTTCTTTTCTAGTAGCGAGAAAATCTCTTGCTCTAGAATATGGGCCGACTCTCCCCGGGCTTGTGAATACAGAATGCCCGAGAAGTGAGGGGGGGTGACAGCGAATTGGAGCCTGTAGCCCCGTGTTACTGTCTTGAAAACCCAAGCAGAATCTCTGAGCATCCTCCACTTGTCGCTTCTCAAAGCGAGCGGAGATGTCACAGCTCTGTCGTCTGCCCTCAGTGTCTCTATTTGTTGTGTTATGGGGCCCTCTAGTGTCTGAACACGGTGGTACCCCAGGTTGACAACCCCGGCCGACACTGCGCATGCGCGTGGCGGTGGTGCCTTCACAATCCCGTCTATTGTCCGCCTTTTGAGAGAGGCCGGAGCCGCTCTCAAAAGAGGGGCAGACGACAGACTGTTTATTGTTTTTCTTTTCATTTTCATTGACTGCGCCCTTGGCTTCAAGGAAACGACAATGGAAAATGATTTATTTTGAAACAACAATGATGACATGTGTTTGTGTGACTTAAACAGGCAGCGGAACTTGCTGTCTTCGATGTTAAGTCCATTTCCCTGATGGCGCGAACTTGAGGATGACGTTCTGGCATCACTCGAGGCGGCGGGAAGATGGGGGCACCCCGAAAACACATGAGCATCCAACACTGGAACGTGCTCTGGAGCTGGGGAACAGGGAACTTCCAGCTCCTTCATCGAGGAGAGGAGAGGAGGCTGTCAGGCCACCCGCTTCTTCTTCCTCGCCTGGTGGCTGAAAACCTGGGTCGGCTGCGCCTGAGCGGCAGCTGCCGGAACCGGAGCTTTTCTTGGCCAGCTCCCTCTTGCCTCGTGCCTGGACTGGGGACCCGGGACGGGCTGCAGTCTCTGCTGCTTCGGTATTTTGAACCGGGCAGGACGAGAGACAGCTTGAGTGAAGGCCTGCCGCGGGACCATTGGAGGTGGCGGCTGGACCCTTCGGGGGAGACAGCGCTGGAGAGCCTCGTCTCCCTTCCTTTTTGACTCGCATCTCAGCTGCATTGAAGCTAGAGCGGAGCCAAATATGCGCTCGGGAACAATATGCATGTCCAGAACATCCTCTTTTTCCCAGTCTGGAAGGTTCGTCAGGTTGAGCCACCTGGTTCTCTCCTGTACCACCATTATTCCCAGTGCTTTGCCCGTGGCTTGGACTGCACAGCGCTGCACACGGATGCAAATGTCCGTGATCGCTGCGATCTCGTCCCACACGGCAGGCTCAGGTTTGCTCGACATGTCTTCGCAGAGCTCCGCCTGGTAGGCGGTCAGCAGCGAGGAGACGTTGAGTGCCCTGGCGGACAAAGCTGCGGCTTTATAGGCCCGTTCGGTCATCGCTGACTGGAACCGGTCTGCCTTTGCCGGTAGCATGGGGTTCCTGCTCGGTGTCGAAGCCAGCCTCGGTTGGAGGTGGGCTGCCACCAGCGGTTCCATAGGCGGCATGCGGAGCAGGCCGAGCCTCTCCATACCGTCACAGTCCAGGGAGGAGGCACCCTGGATTGGGGCCTTGTTGCTAAAGGGACGGTCTCTCCACGAGACCGACACCTCGTCCAGCATCTCCGGAAAGACTGGGAGGAGCTGCCTCTTCGTCCTCGCTGCTTGGGGCAAGTTCTTCCCCTCGTAGCGAGATCTGGAGGTCTCCTTGGCCACTTCAGGCCATGGGATGTCCAGCCTGGACGCAGCGCGTTGACACACGGCCTGCAAATCCATGCTTAGGACGGGCGAAGCTGGTGTGCTCTCGCCCGGGGGAGCGGACATCGCTCCCGGCTTTGCAGCTTGAGCCGATGAAACGAAGATGTCATCCTCATCCGAGTCAGACAGGAGGAACTCAGAGGTATCCTCTTCGTCCTCCATATAGTCCAACTCCAGGACATCCTCCGCGGGTGGAACCAAGGTGAGGTCCAATTGGGAGCCCCAGCTTGACACAGCGCGGGGCTCCGCTCTTGCGGCTCTTGCCGCCACCGGGTCCCAGCCTGAAACGGCGTGGGGCTCCGGTTCAGCGGCTGTCGCTGTTGTTGAGCCCCAGTCTGACACAGCACGGGGCTCAATCTCTGCGGCGGACGCCACCATGTCTTGATTGCCGGCCGGCGAATCAGCGGACATGAGGGGATCCTGTCCCGACAAGCTAGCTTGGCGTGCTAACCGTCGGCGGAGGCTCTTAATGGTGAAGCGGGTACAATGCCCGCACGAGCCGGGGTTATCGATAGCCTCCCGGGCGTGTTCCAGCCCGAGGCAGGACGAGCAGACCTGGTGTGAGTCTGTGCCTGAAATCTTAAACCCGCAGCCGCATAGCCGAGCCTCCGAGTTCCTGACTCCTCTGGTGTGAGGGAGAGAAGGGTCCATCTTCGATCGCCGGGGTGGAGTGGACACGCTAAAAACAGGTACGTTACTGAGAAAAAAATCCAACCTTGCCGTTAGTCCGAAAGGAAAATATTCTTTAAAGAATATTAACTTGCGTGTTAATACCTTTTTTTTTATATCTGTCTCCTCTGGTGTGAGAGAGAAAAGAGAACGTCCTCTTTACCGTGGTGTTGGTGTGGAGGGAGGAAAAAATGTTACTAGCTTGAAGAAAAAAATCAAACCTTACCGTTATTTCGACAGAAAGAAACGGCGAGGCAGATTCCAATATTAACTGGTGTGTTAATATTGCTCAGTCTTCTTGCAAAGCAAAAAAGTAACCGGCAAGCGCCCGTCGACCGAATGTTAGCTTTGGGTTCAGTCTGTGGACCGTTAAGCTAGCCCGGTTACTGATAAATCGAGATGTGCTCTGAAGCGAGAAGAGGTGTTTGAATGACGCTGCGTCGTAGTGCAAGCTACTTAAAGGGTGGGTGGATTCCCTGACGTTGACGTCAAGATCACCAGCCAATCAGGATTGGCGTAATGAGATTGATGCTTCTGTTTGCATACACGTTGAGGCGCATCCCATAGTGAGACATCGAACGGAGTGTTATGAATGAGAACAACAAGTGTTTCTGAAGTGAATTACCTACCCCAGCTTTAAGTGTCTTAAAGTACTCAAATATTGCAGTTTAATTCAAATGCATAGCTGTTTATCCGGCTGCACTCACACTGTGTCTCTGCTGTGTTTGTGTTCCTTGTTGCAAAGTGCCTATAGAGTGAGTTACAGTAGTGTCTCCTGCAGCGTACTCACGCTGCCTCTCTCCAGCAGCAGCTGACACTTGCTCAGGCAGTCGGGGCTGTTGGTGAATTCCACCAGAGCTTTCTCTGCCTGCAGACGCACCGCCGAGTCTGTGGTCTCATACAGCTGCTTACACAGGATCTCCAGCTGGGCCAGGCCCTACACACACACACACACACACACACACACACACACACACAGTAATTCATGTTAGATCAGGAAACCACAAACGCACAAAGAGAGGTCAAGAAAAGCAGATTCTGAAACAATAAGCCAGAGAGTCAAACAGAACAATAATCACATTAATTCCTCGTTTAAAGTCAATTTTCAACCAAATCTTTTTCAGTTTTCTTTGTTGTAAAAAGAAAACAGAACATTTGTAAGGTTTTGGGACGTTTGTCGGACAGAACAAGTCATGTTTAGACGTCATTTAGGACATTTGGACGGATCATTTCAACCACGTTCCTCTATCAACTGATTGTCCTCTAAAACATTAAAAATGAATAAAGTAGTAAACACGTGTGAGAGGAACAACAAGCCGTGGAATAACTTTTGCATAAAGTATTCAAATATGTAATGTTTTGAATTATATTTCAATAGCAAGTAGGGGTGTAACGGTACCCGTACCGAAGGCCCTTCGGTTCGGTAGTCGTGTGTACCGAAGTGCACCGAACGAATATAACGTTAAACGTATAAAATTGAGAATGTGAACAACTTGTTGGAAGTAATCTCAGGTGCTGCGTCGCAGCATTCAGAGTCATTTGCTCACATTGGGTTCAACGCGTCATAGAGCGAGCAAGTCATTTCATTGGACGAGAGGCATAGAGAGCTGGTCAGAGGGATGCGTTCAAATGTAGTCAGTAATTTTGAGGAACTGTCGAACGCAGATAAAGTTGAGCTCAAAAGTCCTCCAGCATCCAGGGCTCTCGACTACAAATATTACTTTTTCTACATTATCATTAGTTAAAATCATTCAAAGTGACCTTTAACATAAAACATCATACAAATCATTAGATGATAATTCATCAACCTTTTTATTTCAGTAAATCATTCAATCACAGAAACAAAGGCAAATATATTTAAACAAACACACAAACGAGAAGATTACTCTAATATTGACTCCAATCAAGTCCGATTAACAAAACAATCCAACTCTGTCCTGAAGACAGAACCCAGAGTAACCAGGATGACAGTCTGTCAGTCAGGAGGCCTTTACAAACGGCCCCCTCGCACACAGACGGGAGAGAGAGATCTCGTCTGGATTGCAAAGCTCAAATACATCATAGACGCATGTTGTAGTCTTATTGCATATTAGAAACGGAGTTGTCGAAACTAAAACTGCGATATAATGTGTATGTAGCAATAACACATATGACATATATTTTTTTAATGTCTCCAGCACCGATAAAAAGTCCGATAACGTCGGAGCTTAACGTTACCACTGTCTTTAATAATTCCAGCCCGTTTAATACCGGGGCTCGGTACCCATCCCTACATGGGGAGAGGCAGCATATTGCTCAGGACTGAATACGATGGAGGATTCTCATCTCAGCCTTATTACCCAGAGGGGTCATTTCATTGGACGAGAGGCATACTATGAGAGCTGGTCAGAGGGATGCGTTCAAATGTAGTCAGTAATTTGAGGAACTGTGGAAATGGCGAACGCAGATAAAGTTGAGCTGAAAATCCTCCAGCATCATTGAAGTCTCCGGTTTGGGAACATTTTGGTTTCGCAGTTACGAACAAGGATGACGGGCAAAGACAGGTGGACCGAACCAAAGCTGTTTGTCGGCATTGTTCAACTAACATTGGTTACGCGGCTGGCAATACATCACACTCATTTGAAAAGGCATCACCCGAACGTGAATATCACCGGTACCAAAAGAAAAAAGACTGAAGCAAACCCAACTCCCGCTCGCATGTAAGCCTCCACCACTCGCAGAGAGTTCAGACCGAGCCAAAGCTGTTACAAACGCCAAGTATCCTTATGCTGCCATGTTAGCAAAGCGCTACCTGGCTGTGTCTGCTACCTCTGTCCCTAGAGAGAGGGTGTTCTCCACAGAGACTTTGTTAGTGCCAGCAGATCTGCTACCTCTGTCTCTAGAGAGGGTGTTCTCCACAGCAGGAGACTTTGTTAGAGCCAGCAGATCTGCCCTTTCAGCAGCAATGTGGACAAGTTCATCTTTCTTTAGACAACATGAAAATACAATGAAAAGCAAGTCCTAATGTCCAGCTGGCTGCTCAGGTACAGTTCAGTTCAGTGTGCGAAAAAGTACACGTCCCACCGTCCGGGACGTGTTATTTACAATATCGGACAAGTAGATCTTTCAATTGACTTGTCCGGCGGACAAGTGACGTTTTTCGGCCTGATTTATTGACAAATTATTGATACATTCAGTTTACAAAAGGCAGAACTCATTCGCAAATTGTACGTGTCCGCCATTGTTCGTTTAGAAATGTTAGTTTCGGTTCTGCTTGTCCTAAGGAAATGCATCTCGCCGCTTTCTGTACAGTTAGACGTGGGCGGGGTGGGGCGGGGCGGGGTGGGAAGTGTAGCACAGTGGCAGGGTTGGGAAGCAAAACACGGTTCCGAGTAGGAACAAATAACAATTGTCCGGTACCGGGATTAATAAGAGTTGTGAGGACGGGAGGCCGAGCCCCGCGGACTGCAGCTCTCTCTATGCTCCGTATCAGCTGATCGCTGCACGGTGCAGCTCAGCCTCTCTCTCTCTCTCTCTCTACACACAGCGGATCCGCTGCCCGTGTAACAGCCTCATCTTTGTCAAACTTTCTTATGTTCTTTCTCTAACACGTAATGAAGGTTATTAAGCGTTTTAACTCCTATGTTGTTCATATTGACGCCATCTCCTTTATGAATTAAAGCAGCCTCCCTGTCTGTGTCCTCGCGCTGTCCTCACATCCCCGGACCCCCAGACTCGGAGGAGCAGGGATGTCAGTATTGTTTATGAAGCAGGGTATAGAAAGTACATTATTGAAATTAAAATACTATGTATTTACTTTTACAAACAGTGAGCAGCTGCAGCTGTGTGTTGCAGGACATGTGTAAGCGTCTTTGAGTTGTAGAAAAGCGCTAGGCCTATAGGCTATACATCTAATGTGTCATTATTATTATTAGGCCTATGTGTTGGACATGTGTGGTTGGACTGTGTCTCACAGGCAGGTTGCAGTGTAACATCAGAGGAGACTGGGCCAATTGTACATTCTCAAACTGCACCACTTAGAACTAACTACACAATGCAGAGATTATTTTGATATAATTGTATTCAATAACCGTAAGAAATTAAACAGTATGAAGTGATTTGTAAATAGGAATACAGATTTGACTTAATATTTTCATAAATATATTTTTCTCCCAGTTTGTAATGGGACTTATTTTTACCCTCTCAAAGAACCGGAATCGAGAAACAAAAAGAACCGGAATCGAGAAACAAAAAGAACCGGAATCGAAAAGCAGAACCGGAATCGTTAAAATCCAAACGATACCCAACACACATAGGGTGTGATGCAGTGAAATCTTACCGCTCACTTACGTTAGCGGTGTCGTAAAAACCGTGGGAAAATGTAAATACGATGGCGAAGAAGAAGATTCCAGTGGCCCCAATTTTTGTCCATTCTGGACAAGTGAAAAATGTATTCGGACAAGTACATTTCCAAACTCACTTGTCCATGGACAAGTACTTTTTCTCACACTGCAGTTCAAATACAGATTATTTCAGTTCATCGACATGCTGCACCTTAATGTTTAGTATATTATATTTTGTATTTATTTGAGTGAATATTCACAGTTTAATAATCATTTAAAAAAACATTTTATGTTTTGTGATAATTTTTTCTGCTGTACCGAAAACGTACCGAACCGTGACCTAACAACAGAGGTACGTACCGAACCGAAATGTTTGTGAACCGTTACACCCCTAATAGCAAGACATATTTAAAACTTTTCAAGACTTATATTAAAACGTTTCCCACATTTTCTATAAAAAGAAATTGGAAATATTTACATATTTTTTTATTCTATACATGAGTGTAACACATGCGTCACTTCCGGGCAAAAAGTACGGCCCCGCCCACTTTGGGGGGAAACAACGCTGTCATCTGAATGACATGTCGAATTCGGCGGGCAGTCGGTCAAATAAATCACTCTGATTGGCTGTTCAGCTAGCGAATCAGTGCATGAGAAGCAAACGGAAGTGAGGGACCCAAACAAACTACTAAGAAGGCATATGTGAGATTTCATTGAACTCCAGCTCTCGACAGGTTCGGGAAAGCCCCGTGAGCTTCTCGCTGTAGAGGGAAGATGGAACGCACGCTATTTGTTGTTTGTTTATATCACGCAGTCTGTTCTTCTTCTCTCCTTTAACTCCTTCGGTGACTTTCTTTAATTTGAAGATGGTTTTTTGCCCGGCGCTTGGCCGGTTACCGCTGGTGTTAAAAACATTTTGGCAAATGGTTAGGTGGCGCGAAAGTCTGTAGTGAACGAGCGCGCTCCCGCTCACGGGAAACAATTTAACACAATTGCTTGTCAAAATATCAATACCACAGGACCATTTCATTTTTTTAAGCAATATTTTGAGTGGCCCGAGCAGCGAGTGGAAAGTACGTTATGCTGCCCGGGGGGTCTAAATAGTGCTTCCGGGCCAGCGGCAGTTCGGCGCTGCTAACCGAGCGTGCTTAGCTCGTTGCTCTGATAACTTCAGATCCAGACGCCCGTGACTAAAATCCTTCATCCGGTTTAATATAGTTAAAGAATACCAATTGTATCATCGAAGTTCAAGAAAGGATGGTTTGCGGAAAAAAAACGGTCTTTTCTTCAATTCCTGTATGTTTTCATATCGTAATATATATATCACAGGGGAAAGAAATCGCAATGTCAGTTTTTTCCAATATCGTGCAGCCCTACTTTGAAGCCATTTTGACGTATATTACTTATGTCAATAAGTTTCTGTTTTCGTAGTGTATTGTCTCTTGTAGAGATTTTTCATTTATTCTTATATGTAAAATCTCGCAGCAAATAGTCTAGAGCCGGCCCTGGTGCTAGGCCTCGAGAGCCTTTCTTGTGCTGACACATAGAAACAAATTGGCGGGCGCACTTCGCACACACTAAAAGATTCCACGCGCTCCGCGCTCACATCATGCTG